GTGCAGTTCAGATCAGCAGTCTTCCAGTCTCAGTTAGTTCAGTTTCAGATCAGATTCAGTTTCAGATCGATCAGATCAGATCAGATCTAGATCAGATCAGTTCAGTTCATCGTTCAGGTTCAGTTCATTCAGGTTCAGATCAGATCAGATCGAGATCAGCATCAGATCAGAGTAGTTCCACGCCATCAGAATAAGTCTATCCAGTAGTATACAGTATACAGGTAGTATGTTACTGCATGAGGACTTTGTTTCCCCGGAATTTGTCTTCTCAGGCTTCTGCACTGACCTTCAGCTTCATGGACTAGAGATAATATTATTATGTAATATAATATAATTTATATTATGTTATAGTATATTATTATATTACAGTACATTAACTGCTCTGCTGTTTCCTTCAGAACAAAGAAAACACTTCACCAAAACCAGCATCAACAGCCTGACGGACACATCGCAGTATCATGTGGAGGTGAGGCTAAAGCTAACAGGTTCTATATCAGCAGTGTGGTTGAGTTGTTTCATTGCGATCAGAGGACCGCTGTGTTCTGATTAAACTGTATTATTCTGTGTGACGTTCAGCACCTAACCACGTTCGTGTTGGACCGTAAAGACGGGATGATCACCGTGGACGATGGCGTCAGACGTCTTCGCCTGCTGGACGCTAAAGGAAAAGTCTGGACTCAGGAGATGTTGCTGCAGGTGGAAGAGAAAACTGTGAGCCTCATCGACCAGGAGACGAAGGTGAGGAAACCACACGTATATGAAATATATCGTATACATATCGTAACGTTTGCTAACTCCCCGAGCAACGTTGTTTGACCTGAACTTGTGTTTCCAGAATGAGTTGGAGAACTTCCCAATCGGGACGATCCAGCACTGCCAGGCCGTGATGAACGCCTGCAGCTACGACTCCATCTTGGCTCTGGTGTGTAAAGACTCGGGTCAGAGTAAACCGGACCTCCACCTGTTCCAGTGTGACGACATCAAGGTAACCAAACCAATATTCTGTAGATTTATGTAAACAGTAGTGGACCTAGAATAGAACCCTGTGGTACACCACTACTGATTTAACAAAGGGAATATACGGAAGTTATTAATGGCCAAATCAACGACTGTTGTTTGATCCTGTTTGTATGAAATTAATCTGTTTGTTAATGTTTCATCAGGCGAATCTGATCCACGCAGACATAGAAAGTGCCATGATCGATGCCAAAGGAGGCAAAGTGAAGAAGAGACCAGAGACACTAAAGTAAGAACCAATCATTGAACCTGCTCAGAGGTTATATTATTATGCTGAAAGCTGATTGGCCGATCCATCTGTCTGCAGGATGATCCTGAAGAGCGATGGGATCATCCCTCCTCCCCCCACCGCTCCCGCCCCCGAGCCGCCGGCAGAGTCCGATCAGGTGGACGTGAAGAGTCGAGTGGCGGCCTGGTCCGCCTGGACCAATGAGCAGCCAGACTGTGAGTGATGTCACACTAGTTTTAATTAATTTAAATTGAATTGGTTATTAATTATTAATTTAAACTGTTAAAGTTCACTTTAAACTGGATTTCTGTCTTTGCTACAAACACACTTAACATTGCTGTGCGCTAAAGGTTTCAGTGCTAACATGCTAAATGGTACAACAACATGTGGATATTTACTATTTACATAATTTTAAGTTTTAACATCTTTGAGGGTTTTTGTAAATACATAATGCTAAGTATTAGTTTGTAAACGTACAAAATGTACAGTTTCTTTATTGATTCATTGATTGACAGAAAATTAATTGGCGTTTTGAACATTTGGACATTTTTAACATTTATTAATTAATGGAGAAAATAATTGTGAGATTAATTGATAATGAAAATGTAATTAATCTCTTGTGGCTACAGACATTTTAACCTTTATCTTCAGTTTTCTCAATGTAAATCTTGAGCTCTATGTGTGATTATTGGTTATTGATTGGTTGTTTTCCTGTGTGCAGATGAGCAGCAGTTCAGTGAGGAGGACGGACCGGTGGAGATGACTGCAGCCAGAGTGGACCGAGATGTGGTCAGTATATAGTTCATGTTGTTCTGAGAGCAGCTGGTGGACCTGCGGAGGTCGTCCAGGTTCACGGGACCTCAGATTAAAGCTGATTGAAGGACGCAGTTTGATTCAGCTGTAATCAGAGTTTAAAGCTTTGAGGGAAAATCTGGTTACATAATGAGAAAGATATTGTGGGAGAACTGACCTCCGCTCTGTTAGTTTAGGTTTAATCATTAAAGAATAAACCTGTTAATGTTCTCTGAAACGTGCTCTTGTTTTGGCAGCAAATCCTGAACCACATTCTGGACGACATCGAGTTCTTCGTCACCAAACTCCAGAAGGCGGCCGAGGCCTTTACCGAGCTGTCCAAGAGGAAGAAGACCAAGAAAGGCAAAAAGAAAGGTCCAGGAGGTGAGGACTGAGGAGACGACAGTTAAACAGAGGACGCAGATTAACTTCTAACCTGGTAGTCGGGACTCTGCTGTCCCATAATGTTCACTGTGAATCCTCTTAATGAAAGTGAACATGAATGAATCCTCCACACAAACTGATTCACTCAAGTTAAATGTTGATGATTTTTGAGTTTTTTCTCCTTCAGGAAGTGAAATGTTTGTGTGATTGTGTCTGATTGGTCCACCAGAGGGCGTCCTGACACTGCGCTCCAAACCTCCTGGTGAGGATGAGTTTGTGGACTGTCTGCAGAAGTTCAAACACGCCTTCAACCAGCTGGTAGGACGTCTCCATTCTCAGAAATACTTTGATTTCCACCAGGATCAATAAAGATCACACAAACCTGTTGCTGTGATATTGATGAATCAGTTGTATTCTATCATATTCAGACTGTCTGTGTTCTGTAGGGTAAACTGAAGGATCAAATCCAGAACCCGAGCGCCGTGGATCTGCTTCACTTCCTGTTCAACCCGCTCAGGATGGTCAGCTTTATTTTATTAACCCGATAAAACAACTTCCTGTGTTTCTATCCACAACTTATTCTATTTATTATTATTATTATTTATTATTTTATGTGAAAAGTCTTTCACATAATAAAAAGGAGAAATTACACAAAACAGACTATATGGCCAAAAGTATGTGGACACACAGGAACCTTTATTCTTGTTTTTCTAACTTTCTGTCTCTTTAACTTAAACTAAATATATATAATATAAACGTACAATTGACCCTTCAATCTTTCAATTTCATACGTTAATTAAATTAGCTTTTAAAAGTCTTAAAAATTGTATTTTATTTTATGTACTCATGTTTGAGTTAATTAATTAATTAATTAATTAATTTTCTTAAAAAAGAATAAAATGAAATATTATAAAGAATCATTATTAAAAGATAAAAGCTGCCCATGACCCCGTCCTCCCGCCGCCCCCCTCCAGGTGATCCAGGCGTCAGGCAGTGTGGATCTGGCTCGCAGCGTCGTGGTTCCTCTGCTGACCAGAGAGGCCATCGACTTCCTGCACGCCACAGGAAACGCAGAGGAGAGACACCTGTGGGTCACTCTGGGAGACGGGTGGACCAAATGCAGGTGAGTTTGTGGCGGAGTCCGCCGCTGTGAGTCTGTACAGCTGCTGCTGATGTAACATCTATAAGTGTGTTTTCACTAGTGTTTAATCAGCTGAATATAAGAATCATTGTGTGTTTGTTACTTTAGAATGAGACGTTTTTATCTACAGAGGGAGCGGGTCCTCTTCTGGTGGAGTCCGCCATGTTGAACCGCCATGTTTGTACGGTAGCCCAGAACGGACTAATCAAACTCTGGATCTAGACAGAGATTTCTTATTCACAGGTCGTCAAATACAGACGCAAGAGGTGTTCAGTTAGTTACGCTTGTTGGCAAAATGCAAACTAGCTAACGACGAGTTAGGTAGTGTTTTCTTAGCATTAGCTAAGATAAGATGTCATTTATGTCACTTTAATCTTTTTAACAATCTTAAAAACAATTATGTAGATTAGCTTTGTGTTCAGGTATATGCTATGTGCTAGGCTAATCTATGTTGGAGGACTTTGCGGCCACAGACGCTCTGAAGACTGAGCTGTATTCAGTTGGTTTCAATGTGTAACTTTACCACTAGATGTCACTAAATCCCACCCACTGGCCCTTTTAAGTTAGATGTTGTCATGGTAACGTGTGTGCAGGTTGGAGTGGCCAAAGGATCATTACTTCCCGCCCTGCGTGCTGAGGTTTCGGGATGGTTGGGAGCCTCCAGCGCTCCCGACGGCGACTCCTTCCAGAGAGCAGGAGCTGGCCGGTGTGGAAGTCCAGAGACAAGAGGAGCTGAGGATGAGACTGGCTCAGGAGGTCGGTATCTGCAGCGCACGCCATGTCCTCCTGAACCGCAGGAACAAGTATCTTTAACCACTTTCTGTCTCTCTGTGCAGCAGTCGGCGGTGCAGAGGTTCCCTCCTGCAGACGGGTACGCCTCCTTCTCCAACACCTCCTACAAACGCATGCAGATCCTGGATCAGGAAGCGGCCATGGCTGCGTTTAGACAGGCCGTCAGCCGCCGCGTAGACCGGTAACCCCGAGGTCACATGACGCCCTGGAGAACTGATCCCTGAACTGCTCTTTTCTGCCCTTTAACCTATGGAGGACAAAATGTGACTCATTCATCAATAAAACATAAATTAAAGCTGAAATAAATAAATAAATAAATAAATTAAAGAACGGGTCACGTGTTTCAGAAGGCGTTGAATGTCACTTCCTGTGTCTCCCTCAGTAAATCCAGTGGTTGCTGTCACACAGGGTTTACTTCCTGTTGCCAGCAGGGGGCGCTACGTACACTGAAGGTTTTACAGCAAACAGACTGATATTGATTTATTGATTCTAATGTTGATTTATTGATTCTAATATTGATTTATTTCAGTATCTATATTTAACTGACGAATAAGTCATTGTTCATCCTCCTTCACTTCCTCTTTCTTACTCTAATGTTTATTTGTGATCGTCGCTGTTGTTTTAATATAAAATCTGATCAATATTTCTCCACTGATTGATCTTCTTCTTCCTCATTCAGTCGTTTGCTCTTTAAAATACAATCTGAGTGATTTCTACGTCTTTAAATTTAATTTTTCTCTCAGTAATCTACAGAGACACTTCTCCACGGCTGTAACAACAAACAACCCTAAAACCTGCTTTATTGTTATTGTTGTTATTGTTGTTGTTAGTATATATTACTGCTGGTATTATAGTGGCCACACAGACTGTGTTTGTAATTGTAATGATTATTGATTGATATATTGGTTGATGTATTGCTTAATATATTGGTTGATGTATTGCTTAATATATTGGTTGATGTATTGATTAATGTATTGGTTGATGTATTGATTAATGTATTGATTAATATATTGATTAATATATTGATTGATGTGTTTCAGGAGTTTTGACGCCGGCCAATCCAAACTGTTTGCCAAATCCAAATATGACTTTGTGGGAAGAAACAACACGGAGCTGTCGGTGCTGAAAGACGAGGTTGTCGAGGTAAACGTTGCTTTTATTGTTGTTGTAGAAATGATAATAATAATAACAATAACAATAACAATAACAACAACAATGTCTGATCCCCGACACTCGTCTGTCAGGTTCTGGACGACAGGAAGCAGTGGTGGAAGGTTCGTAACGGCGGTGGAGCGTCCGGCTACGTGCCAAACAACATCCTGGAGATGACCAAAGCGGTGGACATTACGGGCCGAGGGGAGCCCATCTACAGCCACACTATACAGGTAGACCACTATACAGGTAGACCTCCACCGTACAGGTAGACCACATACAGGTAGACCACCGTACAGGTAGACCACCGTACAGGTAGACCACCACCGTACAGGTAGACCACCATACAGGTAGACCACCAT